ATTAAAAAAGATTAAAAATTGTGAGTAAATGGTTTGCTTGCACCAAATGAAAGAGAAAGTGTTAAATTATGAATAACTCTGCTTAAAGCCCTCTGTTACTTCTTTCCTTATGAGAAAGGGTCTACCTTCTTGGAATAAAGATCTTTCCTCTTAAAATTCTGCTATTCATAGAACTATTGTGATAACTCCTGGGAGGATTTAAGAAATTAGTATTCAGAGGAGAGATATGAGAAGAGCAGCTGGGACCTGGTACAGACATCACAGGGTATTCTATGTAGGGCTGAATTTGTAAATAGCAAGTGTTTACTGAAAGATTCCTGTGTGAGGGGCTTTATGTGCATTCTTCTTCACAATATCCTGATGGGTGAAGTTGTATTGGGGAAACTGAAGCTGGGCATGGTGGCATACTCCTGAAAACCCAGTAACTCAGGAGGTTGAGGCAGAAGGATTGCAAGTTTAAGGCCATCCTGGGTAACTTAGTGAGATCTTGTCTCAAAATAAAAAGGGTTGGGGATGTAGCTCAGTGGCAAAGCATCCCTGAATTCAATCCCCAGTACTGGTGGAAAAAAAAAAAAGGTGGGGGACAGCTGAAACTTAAAGAGGTCTCACAGCTAGAATAAAGAGAAGAGGGCACTGGAGTCAGGAGTTGGCCTCTGGAGCCCATACATTTGCTACTATTCTCTATTGTATTTATATTTCTATCATGAAGTGTCTTAGTTGGCTAGATCTGGCCATAACTCACCTTAAATGAGGTACCATGGACTATAAGCAGTGCTGAAGGCTGCTTAGTAGGCTTCAAAGAGCTTACTGCTGAGGAAGAGTGGTACTGAAATTAGAAGTCATGGTAGGGATGCTTCTACCTGATAGAAGTAGCTGTAGGCTGGTTATTTGGGGAAGACTCTCAAAAGAAGTGAAATCGTGTTGCCTCAGCCTTGTCTTAACCTGTTTCTGAATTATAGGAACCAAACTTCCAAGTACTAATGTGCAGAATGCCAGCTAACTAATTTACAGAAATATAGACACATCCTTCTAGTATATAATCAGAATATTCACTGCTCAGAGAACTTCTAAAATTCAACGTTCATGGAAACCTCCTTTGTCATCATAACTTCATCTGTTGAACTCAAGTGAGAGTAAAGGGAAAGTCTGGTGCTGCTGTCTGTAGTCCTATGAATGCAACCAGAACTATGAAAGTACAGAGGCAATCTAGGAGAAGGAGCTGAGGAACCAGCACAACAGAAGTGCTACCACTGAAGGGGGTAAGGGTGCAGGGCACAGTGAGATTTATAAAGCTCATCCTCTTGCTTATAAGTGGAATCCAAAAGAAGAAAGGTGAACAGTGAGTGGGGTAGAGAAAAATGGTAAACGGTGGTTACCATAAGCAGGGAGCAGGGGAGAGGAGAAAATGGAGAGGTTTAGGTTAAAGGATCCAGAGATGCAGGTGTGCAGGATGAGATCTAATGTACAACGTGAGGACTTAGTTAAAATAATATTTGGGATTTTTGCTGGATGAGTAATTTTAGGTGCTCTTACCATCCACCCCCACCACGAACACTATGTGAGTAGTCATATTAATTTACTTTGCTACACTGATCAATTCACTATGTATATATGTAAGAACATATTGTATGCCCTAAATATGTAAGAAAAATGTATTTCTGAAAGAAGTCCAACAAAACCTACTTGAGTTTCACAAAAGCACTTTCTCTTAAAATACATAGTGCAGGGCTGGGGTTGTGGCTCAGCGGTGGAGTGCTTGCCTGGCACGTGCAAGGCCCTGAGTTCGATCTTCAGCACCACATAAAAACAAATAAACAAAATAAAAGGTTAAAAAAATACATAGTACATGAAAAGAAATTTGTATGCACACACCTGAAACTGATAGTGAACAATTGGCAGTAAAATGGATCACCTGCCAGTGATCCAGGACTATTACTGCTAAACAAAATGAAGATCAGAAGAGATTACTACATAAAGATTGAGAAATATTGACTAAGCTTCATGGGAACCTGGAACACATAAAGACAGATATCTACAGATATCATTTCTAAATTATCACTCAAATTAATTAATAAAATTATCACTCAAGAGTATTAGCAAAGGCTGGACTTTTTAATGATATCTGTACATGTTTCCCTGATATGTACTTAGAATGCAAAAGAAGACTGTCTTTTGAGTAAATATCTTCCTATTTGGAATGTACATTATTATATTTATACATGTTTTCCTCATATGTACTTAGAACTCAAATAAAGAATGTCTTGAGTAAATATCTTCCTATTTGGAATGTGCAGAAACATAATCTACTAATCTGGTTTTATTCAACAAGCAGGGACTAAATTTTTTTTCTTCAAAGACACAATCACAGAACAAGAGAATTAAACAATCTGAGTGTTCCTGTAACAGAATTTGATGTTCTTTTATTCAGCCTGAATTAAAGCAATGATGAATCACACTTGAGTTTCAGACTTATAAGATCAATGATATCAACATACTGTGATCAGAAACAATTAATTAGTGCTATAGTTTGATTTAAAATCTTTTAAACTTTAGGACTGGGGATGTAGCTGAGTGGGAGAGTATTTGTCTTCAATGTGGGAGGCCCTGGGTTCAGTCACTAGCATTGAAAATAAGAAAACAACAACCCCCAAATCTTTAAAATTTCAAAACACATCTTTTAATTTCTTTTAGCACACAAAATAATTTATTCATGAAAGTTATGCCTATAATTTAAAATAAATAAATAGCACAATTTTGCAATTCTGATTTTTACAAGAACATAAACCTTTCTGGAATATAATGTTTTATCAAATTGGAAAGCTAAGTAAATTCAACACAAGCATTCAAAACCATCAGACTTTGGAAATCAACTTGGTGATAAGAAAAATTCATTGGAAAACATAATCAGTGGAAAAATGGGGTCTGGTGCCATCTACTGAATGACAATAGTAATATGTCCTTGAATATTCATAAAATTAGGTAACCCTATGATTTTTAGCTACATACAACTTACAGTTGTGGATGAGTGCTATTTTCTTTTGTCTTTACATCCCATTTTATCCTTTAAAAGAAGTGAAATTAAATGGTAGTTAAAATGGTTACTTAACAAAGGGCATACTGAAGAGCAGGATGATTTGGCAAATTGGGAAAATAAGAATTTCCATGATTAAGAGTGTCTCAAGAAGGGTTATCTTATTTTTATTTTAGGCAGGAACTCATAGGGGTAAACACCTGTTTGTTGTGGGAGGGGGGTGAAGACACATCCCTTCAAGCTGTTTTTGTTTGTTGCTGTTTCAGATAAAGCTTTCCAGAGGGAAAAAAACGCATGAAACCACTTTAAACTAGCTCAAAATCACCAAGTTATTATTCAGGGTGACTTAGAGTGAAACTTGCTCATTATAATACCATAATGTTAAATTCTCCACCACAGAGGCACTCTCATCCACCATTTCAAACATGGACCCTGTGAAGAGGCTGACCTCTAACTGCATGTGCAGGAATGTGCTTACCACCTGTGATAACAATCCCCTCTAGAAGGTGCACACAAGCCTCTCTCCAGTAACACCCCTTCATTCCATAAGAGGCACAACTTTGAGATAAGATCTCTAGTGTTCTCCTTAGCTGTTGCAAGTAGCAAGCCTTTCTTGATTCTTTCATCTCCTGGTTGTGCGTATTGGCTTTGTGCTCATCAAGGGGTGAACTCATTTTGTTTGGTTGTATTATGAGGAGGCTGGTGAGGAGACAGTTGTGTCCTTGGGTATTTATGGCAGGTCAAAATTAAAGATTTAATTTTCTCTACTTTTTCATAACAAGCTGGGTTATTTAAAAATTTATCAACTCAGACTGTCAATAAAATGGCATTTAAATAAAATGGAACAATGATAACTGATACCCACAATGACTATTAAGATGGGCAAAAATCCCTGAAGTGCTTTTCTAGTTAACAAAACCAAAATCAAAAGTTTTTTTTTTTTGTAGTTGTAGATGGACATCAAACCTTTATTTTGTTTAATGTGGTGCTAAAGATTGAACCCAGTGCCTCACACAAGCTAGGCAAGCACTCTGCCACTGAGCTATACAGCTCCAGTTCCCAAAAGTGAATTTGTTTGGTAAATAAAGTTCATTCAACAAGGCCCTGCCCCTATCACCCCCAACACTGCAGACTGAATCCAGGAGCGCTCTAAAACTGAGCTACATCTTCAGCCCTTTTTCTTTTTTTTTTTTGAATTTTGATAGGGTCTTGCTAAATTGCCAAAGCTGGCTTAGAGCTTGTGATCCTTGTGCCTCAGCCTGTCAAGTTGCTAGGATTATAGGTGTGTACTACCACCCCCAGCTTCAGACCTCTTTAATAAAACAGTGATGGAAGCTGGGCTAGGAGAAACATGTCTGTAATCCTAGCAACCTGTGAGGCTGAGGCAAAAGGACTGCAAGTTCCAGGCCAGCCTCAGCAACTTAGTGAGACCTTGTCTTAAGATAAAAAAATAACAAGGACTGGGAATATAGCTTTGTGGTAGAGTGAGTGCCCCTGAGTTCAATCTCTGGTCCTGCAAAAAACCCCAAACCAAAAATCAAAATCACACTGCTACTATTCACTTATAAAGAGAAATGAAGTTGTGATGTGTGGTGCACAATGGATGATCCTTGAAAACATGCCAAATAAAAGAAGCTGGTCACAAAAGAACAAGTAGAAAGTGGTTGTTTGGGGTGGGTGGGGGGCAGGGAGTGAATAAAATGGGTAGATCGAGTGATGGTATCTAATTCAGAGTTTCTTTTTGAGGCAATGAAAATGTTCTAAAATTGACTGTGATATTGGTTTTGCATATATTCAAAAGTATATTAAAAACCATTGAATTGCACAGTTTAAATGTGAATTGTATGATATGTGAATTATATCTCAACAAAGCTATTATTGAAAAAAAAAAATCAATGTTGAGAGCATTTCTGTCTGGCCACAATCCCAAGAGTCTTGGAAAGGCTAACTTCCTGTAAGTTATGGACTGGTAAAGGTTTTTTTTTTTTTTTGGTAGTAGCTTTTGTGAATGTTACTTTCTATAATGTCCAGAATATTCTGAGTACTAAGAGCATGACTAAGATATGTTTGTGGTTGTTCTTTCTCTCATAACATTGTTCATGATCCATAATTTGCTTCTCATTTACCTCTTCCAAAAGGGCAGGGCCCTGTCTATTCTGTTCATTACCACACACCTGCACTTGATAATGTCTGGCACACATAAATGCTTAATAAATGTCAGCTGGTTGAATGGATAAATAAATGTAAGAATGATTCTCATACAGATCAATTGACCTGGGAAGAAGGAGATGAAAAAAAAATCCTCATAAATAAAGACAATAAAGAAAAGAAAGATAAGCAACAGTTGGGATTTGATGTAACAAAATACCCCCCCCCCAAAAAAAAACCCTGCCTTTGTTCAATTGATATTTGAAGATTTAAAATATCTGAAAGATTTCAAGTGATAGTAACATAAAAAGTGTTCTCTGGAAGACTCATTTACAAATAAGTTAATGAAAACTCTATTATAATAGGATGTAACAGGAACCTAGTGTTTTGTATGTTTCAGGATGTAGAATATTCTGTTGAATATACCAGGTGAGTGTCTAGAGTCCCATAAAGGGAATGCAGCAAACTGAGGATCTTTTCTTGAATGGTGTCAACTTGTTCAGAAGGACAGTAATCATCCAGACTTGACCTGGAACCAAGAACAAAAAAGAGAAAAAATATACACAAATATAAGATAAAACCACACTGTGAAGAAGGAAGAGGCTGCATGTGTTGATTTCAATGTAAAATAGAAATGTAGATGCATTCAATTCTTTCAACAGTTAAAAGTTAATAAATATTTACCCTGTCAGGCACTTTACATGAATTTTGTTCCTTAATTTTCTCAGCAATTCTATAAAACAGGTACAATTACCTCCCTATAAGGGAAATTAAAACAAAGAAGGATTAACCTGTGCAAGGTCACACAGCTAGTAAGTAAGTGCTAGTGACAGGTTTCAAACCATGTGATGTGATCCTAAGTGCTTAATAACTACTACTCTTCCCTGAAAGGGAGATGTTGCTATAGGGCACAGGAATTTATCTTCTCAGTGACTGGGTGTCTTTCTTATTCTTATTATGTTTATGCTAGGGCTAGAAATGAGTAGGTTAAAGGTTTTCTAGTTGATGAAAGGGTTCTACTTCCACAAACAATTTGTTAATCCCATAAATGGAAAGGATCCATGGCTTGGTCCAAAATGTAATGTCAGAATTTGATGACATTAGGATTAATTTCCTATGTAGGATGAAGGAGAATGGAGCAAAGTGGGGTGGGCAGCAACTTGTATTTTGGGAGTCTTTTTAGAATTCCCTAAAACAACTTGAGTTGCACTGAGCAGCAACAATGTTACTGCCAATTACAGTATTAAGATGTGAAAAGATTTGATCAGTGACTCTTTGTTCTAGATTGGGGTGAGGAAAACCGTTTAGAGTATGAATGGAGAAAGTGGCATAGGAAATCCTTTTGGAAGAAACTGGAATTAGCAGCCTACTTCTTTGCATTTGTTATTAGAGATTAAAAAATAATATTAAAGAAATAATCTGTAAAACCTCTAACAAACTCATTCCATTCTCTGGTGACTGTGTTACTTTTGAGGCTTGATGTAAACATTTAAGACACAATAAATAAATGATAAATATAGTGTTAAATTTTTAAATACTAAGTTACACATATGGATAAAGACCTGCTTAAATCAGAAGACTACTGGTTTGAGGAGTTTCTCAAGGATGATCAGAGAATTCATACAAAAGTCATCCTTTCCATATAATGAAGTAGATGGTATCACTTGATACAGTGTTTTAGATGAACCTAAAGTGTTGGGAGAGGAATTTTTGTTGGTTGATTTGGGTTGAACGGTGAGCAGCCACCATACAGGTCAAACGAACTATTTCTTGTTGAATGGAATAAAACCACTTCCTTCAGTCCTATACCACAGCCACAGTTTCTTTAAAGAGTAAGGTTTCCTTATCAGGGCTGGAAACCTGAGTATTCTAGGGTGATGTCTGGGAAGGGAAGACTCAAATGTTTATGGCTTTATTGGATACAAGTGCCCAAGTCAACAACTTGCCAATTCTGATGGAGGTAGGGGCCCCTAGATTTAGCTAATGTGGTTTGGAAGGGAAACAAAAATAACTTGGTGGATGGAACTGTTTAGGTTAGTGCAATCAATATACTGTGGTTACTTCTATATCTCCAAGTGTAGTAGTGCTGGGGATGTAGCACAGTGATAAGGTGCTTGCCTAGCATGCGTGAGGCCCTTGGTTCAATCCCCCCATTGCCAAAAAAAAAAAAAACCCAGTTAAGAATCAATATGGTATATGCTCTATTTCCCACAAGTCATATAAGGAATTCTCCCAGTCAGGAAGAATGGAATGTGAAGAAGAAAATCAGCTCTTAGCTTACTCTTGGGCTTTTTACACAGTGAAAACCTTTGGCTTCAGTAGAGGCCTCTGCCTTAAATTCCAGTTTTGGGGTATGTCATCTTGGATTCAACAACTAACAAAATGAAGATAGCCCAGCAAGCCTCAATTAGCGGAATAAAAACTGTTTAAACGGCAGATTCATAGACCCACAGTGTCTTAGCTGTACATGAAACAATAGCAGGCTTTTGTTAAAAGAGAAACTTATCTCCTACTTTGTTACCTGAAACAAAATTTCTGGCTTAGTAGGGCCCTCAGTTTGTGGAGGTCAATCTAACTGGGCCTTGTTGGCTAACTTGAAAGCACTAGAATGCTGTATCTGCTTAAATTTGTCTTCATATACTCCAAAATGAAAGTGGTCACTCCTCAGTGAACAGATCACAAGGATTTCTCAACACTGTCCAGTACTTCATTTCATAAATGAAGTGGCCTTACTCTTGGGCTTTTTTACACAGTGCATTCTGATTGACCCTTGGGCTATTGCTGTGGCCTAGCTATTGTAAATTCCAATTAGAAACTTTATACAGATTAAAAAAAAAAAAGACCTGCTTAAAAGTATCTTATGTAAAAGCTTTACTTATAAGCTTTAATAAACGTATTCAATGGCTTTTAAATTTTTTGGGCTGGGATTGTGGCTTAGTGGTAGAGTACTTGTCAGGCATGCATGAAGCTCTAGATTTGATCCCTGCTCTGTGGTGGTGGTGATTTCTAAATTCTTTTAAACACTATTGCAATGGTACTTTGTGGGAGCTACCCCCAAGAGGGGGTTTTGGAAATTTATAGGTATATCTTTGATTGACAGAGTGACTAGGGGAAGATTATTGACATTCAAGAGACTGGGGGAAGAGGGCTAAACTGTTGGGATGCTTTCAACAGTCCTGCAATACGAATAATTATCCCTATGTCCTGTGTACTTTTCCAAAATCATGGAGCATTCACCAAGTGAGAAACCAATTTTTAAATTTTAGAGCCTAGAATTTTAAACTTGTATTTTTTGAAAATGGATTAGATATTAACGAATTTTCCAGGAGTGCAACTACTCTGTGAATTAAGACTAGACTTTTAAGGTAAGGCCTTTATTAAGAAGTTATTCAATAATGAGAACAATCACATCATCATGGTAGTGCTATTGGTAGTATTTGGTATGTGGTTATCTTTCTGCCTTTGTAACTGCTATGCTAGTGATGCTAAAGATGCATCTGGTCTAGTGTGGTGTTTTAATACATATTGTAGGCTCTGGAGAGAGTCTGTTCCCTGGCCTTTTCTAGCTTCCAGAGGCTGCCTCATTCTCAGCTTGTGGCCCCATTCTTCACCTTCAAAGGTGCTGCATAGCACTTTCCAAGCTTTTTCTCTCTCTCTGATTCTGATCTTTCTGCCTTACTTTTCTTAGGACCCTGTGATAATACTGGTCTACACAGATAAACTCTTCATCTCAAAATTCTTGAGTTAATCACACTGCAAATTCCCTTTACCACAATAAGGCAGCATATTCACAGGTCCAGAGATTAGTATGTCTTTGGTGGGCCGTTATTGAGCTTACTGCACTTACCTTGCAATTGTCACAAGAGTAGGTTTTGGTAAACTTTTCAGTAAGCAATATACAGACTGAATAAGGTACTCAATTTCTTGCTCTGTGCTGATATGGTGAGGAAGTTCTGAATAATCACAGGTTAGACCAGCTTGGTGAACCTGAAAATAAGATAATTAAATTGCACTGTAAGACTGTTGATCTTAAAAGATTCTTTGATCATTAATGGCCCTAATGACAATATATCTTCTAATTTTTATGGATTGGGATTGTTTTCCTTAAAACTTTCTAATCCACAGAGGTTATTCGCATTCTGAAGTTTTGGTAGAATTGGCCTGTACAATTGTCTGGGCCAATATCTTTTTTTAGGAATAATTCTTTACTTCTTTATTTTATGATTATCAGTTTCTCTTTGAGTTGATTTTGATAGTACATATTTTCTGGCAAATTATATGTTTTATTTAGATTTTAAAGGCTGATATAAAAGTGTATATAATATACACACTCTACTTTTTAAATACAGGCACTCTATGTTACATTCAAAGCTTTGATACAATAGAATGTTTTCCTCCCACTTTAACATATTGTTTTCTTGCATATCCTTTGGATGTATAATCACACACTACCAGTATCTATCTATTTTTTTTTTTGTGTGTGTGTGTGTGTGGTATTGAATCTAGGAGTCCTCTACTACTGAGCTATGTTCCCCTCTACTCTCCTGTTTGGGGTACTGGGGCTTGAACACACAGACTTGTGTATGCTAGGTAAGCACTCTACCACTGAACTATATCCCTAACCTCTTTTATTTTTTATTTTGAGACAGGGTCTAAGTTGCAAAGGCTGGTTTTGAACTTTGCAATCCTATCTCAACCTCCTAAATAGTTAGGATTACAGGTGTATACCACTGAGCTTGGCTAGATATGTTTTAAAGATAAATAAATAGTATTCCAGTCTTACTTTATTAAAGTAAATAGGTTTGAAAGCTAGAAGTGGCTTGCAGGCTGTCTTTTTTCAACTTCAACTTTGAAGTTTTGAAAACTGGAATACAAATATATCATAGCTTTATCTAGAGTACATAAGTATAAAACTTGGAAAAAACTATACTTTACTGGTGGCTTTGGATATGCACCAAAGATATAATTGGCAGTGATCAGTTAATGATGGATTCTGCATGTTCTTTTCCACTAAAATGATCAGA